GGGGGGGTGCCCGTCCTGGGTGCCGGCATTTAACCTCCCGCAATTTTCACTTCCCCAAACGAAAAGCATCATAAAGCTGTCTGCTGACGGGCGGTGCCTAACAGCGAGAGGCTTCGAACTTGGAAATGTCCTTGCAGTATTCCCCCCTTTCTCGAACCCTAATATTCCAACCGGGACGGATGGTACTGAGCGACAATGCCCTGCATGCGCTTTTTACTCACTGGTTTGAATTTTTAAGCACTATAATTAGCCCGTCGGTTGTTTTGCGCCGCGATTCGCCCCAAAATATTCTTCGAAAATGCATCCAAGCTGCTACGGGACTTGGTTACCCCCCGCCCCATGTTGTTGACCAACTGGTGTCGGGAGTGGACATCTTCGACTTGTCTGGCCCTTCGACCACAAGCCAACCCGTTCAAGCTATCGGCAACGGGATTCGCGATCTTCTTCAAGGCAGTGCTCATGTTCTGCTAGAGGACGGATCCATTTTCCGCCCTCTATTGCCTGACATGGGTGTGGCCATTACTACGTTGCCCAATGAAGGGGATCTTGTGTGCGTCCTTAGAGGCGCACTTGACCCCTCAATTTTACGCAGGATTGAAGGAAGCAGCTCTCCGGACGACTTCCGGGTCGTGGGCGGCAGCTACGGGCGGATTTTTCCAGACTTGCTCGATATAGTTGAGGAGTGCTTTCTGGGGAGGTTGAGAGGGATTTCAATCTTTGGTAATTGTTTTGGCGCATTTTGGGGGTTTTTTAATCTGTCGGTTTTTTGTATTCACGTTTATGTAGCGGATTTTTGTTTGCGGTCTGGACACTGGTTGGCTCAAGGTGCCCTTGAGCTGCAAGATGAGGAAACCTAGGCGTTGTGTGTGTTTTTTCCCCTCCCTTTTCTTTCGGCGTTTTTCAACATGCCCCGGCAAATGATAGATCCACTTGTGTACCCTCCTCTGGATAAACGGGTTGGACGGGCGAGTCCGATGCCTCAGCCACTCCTCGCCATAATGGCAGGGCTACACGACGTAGTCGGTGAATCCTTTCTCCACTCGCTGGTCCCACCATCTAAAAGTCCAACTGGAGCTCCCTGTTTATACCCGTATCGTGAGTTTAGCATCGAGGAGGTTCTTGTATTCGGTGACGTACTGAGCTGGAAGTTCGGCTGCGACGTCGAGGCCAGTGCCGGCAAGGAAGACGACACGGCACGTTTTCGCACTGAAGGTCGGCATCGGTCGATTCGTCATGAAGCCAGGTCCGATACGCGTAGGCCTAGCGATGCGAACGGCCGAGGTGGTCGTGCAGCTCAAACTCGACGTCCCACAGCCGTTTCTTACCGAACGGCCTCCAAGGAACGCGGGGCTCTGAGGACTAGACGTTTTGTTCGTTCGTACCGCGCTGGTTACGGAGCTTACGCCGCAGGCGCCAAAGGTCGGATCTCGCTACAGCGTCGCGCCGTAGCTAGGATCCGGGCGACTGCAGCCACATAAAGGAGTAACATTGCGTTCCGGTCCAGGCGGCCGCATTGCGGGACTGCCGAGCGTGCTAATGGCAGGTAAGCGGAGCAAGGAGGGAGGCAAACCGCCTGCATATTAGCGGCATCGTGTGGGGGATGTCGTCTTTGCCTAGATCATTGTCGGCACGTGGAGAGTCGAGGGTTTGCGGCTCGCACGCTTCACGCACGTCGATCAGCCACGAAATGACTTCGCTAGACTCCATTGCTAAAAAAAAAAGAAAGGTAACGAGCTAGACCGACGCGCCTAGGCATGACTTTGCGAGCAAGCTCCCGGAAGGGGTGTACTCCCCAGTCAATATGCAAAATGGATGGACAGAAACAGGACGAAAAGATCGAAAATGGCGGGGGATCCGCCTCCAGGTCCTGCAAGTGGCAATGCTGGCAGCCGCCACGGGCAAGATGTGTTGATGAAGGAGGTCTCGGAGATAGTTATCAGTTGAAGATCTGACGGAGGACGCTCTACCCCTTGGGTACAGGCCCCGTTGCGGAACCAGCGGCGGCGAGTGTCGGGCGTCCAGCTGCCGGCGCGGCTCGGCCTACACCTCTCGAGTCGTGGCGGCTATGAACTTGTCGATGTGGGCCACGTAGCATCCTGGTAGAAGCTGGTAGCGGCCGTAGACCGAGCGATTCACACAGGAGTAGCTGCCTTTAATTTGCCTACCATCACACCAACTAAGCAAATATATTCGAGATGGCCGCCAGGGATAGAACCATTGCAGAAATGCCGTCCGAAAACACACAAAAACAGTCAAACCACACCAGGAACGCCCCTCCGAGTTCACGGATACCAGGCCCTTCACGCCAACACTACTCCCCTTTCGAGGTGCAAGAATCTCGGGCATGACGGTTCAGTGAGCATCGCCAGCCAATATCCCTCCAAACCGGATGATCAATAAGCGAAGTTCGATTGACGGTCAGTGCATGCATCCAGCGCCCTCGTCTGGATGATTATGGCCGCCGACCCCTTACTGCCAAGTCAGAATCCCGACGACGGCGATGATCGTGCCAGTAACTGCATCACTTGGAAAGGGGAGGCCCCGCGGAAAACATCGTTGTCACCACGGGTTGCGAGCTTAGCTGCCTAAGATGTGTTCTCGGCGTGGACGGTGTTGTTGAGATACCCCGAAGCTCTGGCGCGGCGACCAGCGTAACGCCGAGACTAAATGGCGCGTGTTTATAACCTGGGTTACCGTTTTAAGCACCGAATTGGCCGCAAAGGGAAATGCTTTGGCCGGGCCGGCAGGAGGCATAACCAAACCAACCGTTGTGATTCGATGTTGTTCCGTACCACATTACATCACAAGACACGCCTCATCACGCCCTTAATAAAGCCCACCACCAAATTAGCTATACAGCGGATACACCAGCTTCTGGGCATGCACCTCCTTCCGCTGCAATATGCTGATGCTATCGATAACTTTTGCGAAACCGCCCTGGTTAACCCGCATGGGATATGGTTTTAACTTTCCGGTCTTGTACAAAGCGGCAAAGCGCTTAATCCACGTATAAATCCAAGCGTGCAGCTCGGGGTTTTCCTTGCGATAATACCCTCCAAGGAGTTCCAGCTCCAGGCTTGTCGCTTCCAACCCGATAACCCAATCGGCCTGGACCGTTTTGCGCATCGTAGCGATCAAATCGTTGGGCAAAAGCTTAAAGCCAACGTATTTGCCGCCTCCACGCCCGATGGCCGCATAGCACTAGCGAATTGTACGCGCTTCCGTAATAATGTCCAGCGCATATTCTAGCAAATTCTTGGTGTACGCCCGGATTTCCTCGCTATACGTTGGCGAGTAATAATTAAACGCCCTTTCGGCACCGCACTCCTGCACCAGCTCGAAGTTGTTGGGGGAGAACGTCGTGATAACCCGGTAGCCCGACGGCTTGAGCAGCTGGATGGCAAAAGTGCCACTGGCGGTCGAACCCCCGTAGACGAGAACGAACTTGGGGGCCGTGGTGGGCTCCTCAACGTCTGTCCAGGAGCTCGACAACGTCAGGGAGTCGGCCGTCATCGACTGTCCCGGCTACACGGCTGGTCTATGGAACAGCTTGGACCGGTCGTACTAGTTCCACGTCACCAAGGACCTGAAGTACGCTCAGTTCGGCTTCGACTCGTGGCGGGCCAAGGGTACCTACAAGCTATCGGCCACCACGCCCGCCGCCCACGCCGACGGTCCCGTCTGGGACCCAGAGGGCGGAGGCGGCGATGCTGCCGACGTAGCAGCGGGTGAGCTAGAACCGACCGAGCTATCACCGGGGCTGTACTACAGCGTTCCCGTGGCCGGCGGCGAGGTCGAGGTGGATCTCACGACGTCGGGCCGAAAGCTCTCCTTCCGCGGCAGGGGCGGCTCGGCGCGCCTGTGGGCCAAGGACGGCTGGCTCAAGGTTGCCGAGCGGTGGACGGCCATCCGGGTCTGGGCGAGTCCCTACACCTTCACCTACTGGGAGGTGGTATCCCGTGGCGCCAGCCACTGGGGCAAGACGTTCGTTTCGGGCCACCTGTTCCACAACGACCGGCTCGTGGTCGGCACGCGCCTGGGCAACGCGTCCGCCACCGACGACCACATCCTCATCACGCCCAACTACGGCGGCGAGATCCACGGGCGGTTTGACGACAAGAACACTGGCTACACGCTCGAGTTCGGCTCTCCCGGGCGCGGCCGGACCCGGCGGTTCGAGATGCAGCACACCATGATGTAGTACGAGATGGGCGTCGGAGGCGGCGACGGCCTGACCGGCTTCGCCAACCGCGTCTTTGGCGGCGAGGTCGGCGGCGACCACCAGTACGAGGGCCGCGGCCAGACGGAGCAGATCTCGTTCCCTGAGTACATCCCGCAGTGGGTCATCTTCGGCGTCGGCTTCCTGGGCTCCGGGAAGGACCATGCTCTCAGCGCTGTCAGCTACTTCTTCTAGTTGCCTGTGGCACGGCATCCCGCGGGTAAGAGGGGCAAAAGGACTCGCCTATGTAGCTGGAGTGGAACCCCGTAGCAACAAGAGATGTGTTTTGGCTAGCGGAAGAAGCGCAATCACTGAAGGAGGACGGGCCATTCCCTAGGGAGTAGTGTTGTATTTTTTTCTTTTTACACCTCTGAGGCGGCGAGATAGATCAGAGAATTGAAATCCGAATTTGCTGCCACTCTTGGTTGCATTCTCAGTGATTGGATGTAGCCGTTCTTCAACAAGGAGTGATTCATGTGCTCTTGTTGCTTCTGAAGATAGATATTGCATTTATTTTCGGCGTCATGATGTATCGCAGACAGAAGCCGCAAAACGGTGAGCAACCGTGAACTGGGGTGGCATCTAGGGTATGTATTTCATGAACGAGAGCAACGTCGTCATTTGGCTTCTGATAATGTACCAAGGAAGATCGACCGCTCTTGAACTAGCACAGTACCCCATCTATTTCCCGCCATCCTCCTTGCCCTTCCACTCATAAATAGCCCTAGCATTGACTACCCCGCCGTCTTTCCTGATAGCCATGGTCCTCATAAGCCATCTCTGCTCGTTCACCATGCCAAACCCCCAAATCTGCTCCATGACCCAACCGTTGGTCTGGTGGACGACAAGGTCGTACAAGTTGCTCTCCCCGCCGGGCTCGCCCTCCTCGAGGAAATGCTCGGTCAAGTAGGGGTCCAGGGGCTGGCTGTCGTGGCCGGTGGCCGCCGACAGGCTGACCATGCGGGACCGGTGCGACGTGGCGCCGAAGATGGGCGACGAGTGGAACTCCTCTCGCCAGTCCAGCACGCGCACCTCCTTCTCCTCGCTCATCCCCCCGATGGCGACAGACGCGCCCTGCTTGATCGGAAGAAGCCACTGGAAATGAAATAAAGGTTGCTCGATAGATAGTCGTGGGACCTACCTCCATGTACAAACTGAAGGCTGTCAGGGAAGTGTGCTCAGGCCAGCGTTGTTCAAGAACGACCCTTATCATGTAGCTTAGCGAGGTGACGGGAGAGGATGTCGACCTCTGCCGTTGCAATTGGATCACTCACTTGGTTAATACTGTATGCAGTTGTGCGGCAACCACATAGGATACCCGGGTGGTGTCAGCCGGCCGTTGATAATCTAGCATACCCTCCTACCTATCAACGACATGAATACTCAACTATCGCCAGTCTATATAGCTACAGGATTCAGATTAAGACCGGACAGGGGCTCAACTCGGGAGCAAGTACCTTGAAAACCCTCCCGCCAAGGCTCGGGATGATGATGGCGCCGCCTGTCGACTAATCGCTACTAGTTATAGCGAAATAAGGTTGGAGCAAAGCCTAGGTAGTACATGGAACGAAGCGTCGCTCCCTCGTTTCTTCCGTGTACATAGCCTACGTCAGATCTCGTCGTTGAAGCTTCGCTTCAATTATGACGAGACCGCGAGAGCCTCCTTCCCCACCATCGTCCCCTTTCCCTCCTCGATGGGCTTGTCCTTCTCGTCCACCATGCCATAATCGGTGTCTAGCTCCTTTCTGAGCGGTATCTCCTTGATCACGCAAGCCGCGATGAACCCCACGCCGGCAAAGGCGATAGCCACCTGCCACGACCGCTGGAGCGCGCTGCTCTGCACCGCCACCACCTCGGCGCGCGTCGCCGGCGACAGCGAGTCGAGGAACTCGAGCGACGCGGCCCCGTACGCGCCCCCGGCCGCGAACTGGGCGGCGACGGTCGCGTCGCTGGCGATGGCGCCGTCCTGAGTTACCAGCTGCGCGGCGCGGTTGGTGTAGATGGTGCCCGCGACGGCGACGCCCCAGACGATGCCGAAGACGCGCAGTAACGCCCACGTGGCCGTCGCCAGCGCCGTGTCCCGGTCCGCCAGCGGCGCCAGCAGCGCCGGGAGCAGCACCGCCATGCCGAAGCCCGCGCCGGCCGACTCGACCACCTGGTAGCCCACCCATGCCGCCGTGCTGGAGGTCTCGTCCAGCAGCGAGAGGAGGCCGAAGCCGACGGTGATGAGGGCGAAGGAGACGATCAGGATGGGCTTGTACCGGCCGAACTTGGTCAGGAGCAGGCCACCAAGGATGGCGGCCGGGAGGAGTGCGAGGACGGTCGGGAGCAGCATGATGCCCGAGCGGTAGGCGGTCGCGGCGAGGACGCCCTGGAAGTAGACCGGGAGGAAGTAGACGACCCAGAGGGTAACAACGCCGTGGAGGAAGCTGAGGAGGAAGATGATGGATGTGATGGAGTTTCTGAAGAGGTGGAGGGGCATTGTCGGATTAGGTACCAGGCGGGCGTTGCCCTCGAGCACGACAAAGGCGCCGAGCGTGGCTAGCCCGACAATGAGCGGTACGAGGACCTGGTAGGAAGACCACGGGTATTTGCCGCCCGCCCAGCCGAGCGCGATTAGTACCGGGCTGGAGCCGCCGACGAATACGGCGTTGCCTAGCCAGTCGAGGCTCGACAGTTTGGTGGCCAAGGTCTGAGACTTGTCGTACTTGACGTGTAAAAAGACGAACAACAGTACCAGCGAGACACCGCCGATAGGTAGAGACATGTAGAAGGCCCAGCGCCAGGTGCTGTAGGTGACGATGAGTCCGCCAAATAGGGGACCGAGTGCAACTCCAATAGAGACCATGCCAAACACAATGGCCATGTAGGTGCCCCTCTCGCGGAGCGGCACCAGATCGCAGATGACGACCTCGCAGAGGACAGTAATGCCCGAGCCCCCGATGCCCTGAACCGCCCGGCCAGCGATCATCAAGGCAATGGAATTAGCTCTAGGTTATGCCCGACTTGTCAGCAAAAGGCGTGAATGGTTCCTTGGCTAAAAAAAAAAAAAAAAAAAAAAAGAAGACAGCAACTCACCCGCCACACATCCCGCACCCAACCATGAAGATGGCCACGGAAACGATCAGCGGCCACCGGCGGCCAAACACGTTTGCGAGCTGCCCAAACAGGGGCTGAACAGCAGCCCTGATCACACAAATTAATTCCCAGTCGACCATCTTCGTCGCGGGTGAGGGAAAGCTCTTACATGGCTAAGAAGTAGGCGTTAGAAATCCAGATGTACTCTTCAACCCCGTGCAGATCGGCAACGACGGATGGCAGGACGGTCGAGGTGACTGTGGCCTCCAGCGCCGTGAGCAGGCTGATGAGGCCGAGATTACCCAGGATGGCCCAGAACCTCCACCCCTTGCGCATCTGCGGATGGACTCCTTTCTCGGTCGCATCCTGGGTATTCGCCGAAGTAGACGCGTCCGTCTGTTCCATCGTGTCTGACGAGAAAAGATTGCCTCGGTAGGCGGGTGGAAAATATGGAACGGGCGCGGGTAGGTGTGGACGATTCCTATAGGAAATTGACATTGAATATGGGTATTATCCGTCATGAAGTGCGAGGACTTATATGCAGGGCCAGAAAAAAGTACGAGCGACTTTCATGCCATGATTTGGCGAATGGTAATATCCGCGGGGGGTGACGTCCGCGGAGGGTTTTGCTTCATAACCTAAGGAGCGAGGGGCCTTCGCAGCGAGGGCCCGGCGCCATACCCTCGATGTTGTAAGGCACTGTATGCTAATTCCTCCACGGCGATCCTCTTTTGTAATTACAGCGGTATAGGTAATTTGCGTTCCCTAGGCCGAATGGCCCACTGTGCCTGGCTCGATATCGCGGTACAACATGGCGTTGTACCGCCCAACATGCTCTTCAACAAGCTCCACGCCGATATCGAGCCATTCTACACCAACCTCGAGATCGCAGCGGCCCCCAAACCATGGCCGAAACTAGCGGATGGCGTTCCACGCCGTGCTAGCGTCAGCAGTTTCGGCTTCGGAGGCACCAACTCGCACGTTATCGTCGAGAACTTTGTGCCTCCCACTCCTCCCATGCAGGACACCGAGCCTCTCCTTCCTTCCCGGCCGTTCACACCCTTCAACTTCTCCGCTGCTTCGGCAGGTGCCCTGAGAGGGGTCCTGTCCGACTACGCAGAATACCTCCGATCCCACCCCGATACCAATCTCAACGATCTCGCCTACACGCTGTATGCCCGGCGATCCCACCCGCCCTCCGGGCCAGCATCCCGGCCACGTCGGCAGCAGAGCTCCTGACCGGGATCGGCGAGCTCCTTCGCGTCCTTTCGGATGGAAACAGTGGCTCTTCCAGCCTCGGAAGCCGCGCAAAGCCGCTTTCGCGCCCCATCCGCATCTTGGGCGTTTTCACCGGCCAGGGGGCGCAGTGGCCCACCATGGGCCGCGAACTGGTCCAGAGCTCGCCTTGCGTCCGCGAGATCGTCGAGGACCTCGACCGGGAGCTCCAGCGTCCTCCGGAACCCGAGAGACCCGATTGGACTCTCCTGGACCAGTTCACGTGCGATGCCTCGTCGCCCCGCGTCGGCGAGGCCGCCTACGCACAGCCCCTCACGACGGCCGTCGAGATCTTCCTATACGACCTCCTTCGCAGCGCGGGCATCCGCTTCCAGGCCGTCGTCGGCCACTCGTCGGGGGAGATCGCCGCGGCCTACGCCCAGGGTTTCATCACCCGGGTCGAGGCCATCAAGATCGCCTACTACCGGGGCTCTACGCCACCGCCTGCCCGTCCGAGAAACCCGGAGTTATGATGGCGGCCGGCATAACGGCAGAAGATGCCGAGGAGCTCTGCGACCTGTCCATGTTCCAGGGCCGGCTGTGCGTCGCCGCGTACAAAGTCGACAAGGCCTACCACTCGCCGCACATGCAGAAGGTGGCGCCCGGCTTCCTCGACGCGCTCCGGCGCTGCAGGATTCGGCCCCGACAAGGCGAGACGACGGGCGACGATGCGACCGCGTGGCTCTCCAGCACCTACGAGGACACCGAGATGCGCGGCGACATGGACGGCGACCGGGATCTCGCCGGCCCGTACTGGGTGAACAACCTGCTCCGACCCGTGCGTTTCACCCAGGCCGTCCGGGCTGCGGCTGCTTCTGCACATGGACCGTTCGACTTCGCCATCGAGGTCGGCCCCCATGTAGCACTGAAGGGACCCGTCCTGGAGACGCTTCGGGAGATCGCCAACGGAGACGGGGAGGCGGTGCCGTAGGTGGGCCTGCTGCACCGTGGAAGGGACGACGTCGATGCCTTCTGCGAGGTCCTCGGCAGTTGGGTTTGAGTGACTTGTCAGGTTGGGGTTGCCTACCTATGTACGAAGGCTAAAATCGCAGGGCAGAAGAAGCGCAGGAAGATAAGGAGGCGCAGATCACCCACTTAGACACGTTCGCGACGACCTCGGCTGCAATGTGTCTGTATGTGCACGCATTGCGTCCATCCATGGGGTTAAGCGACTAGCGAGCTCAGAGCAAGTCTAGATCCTCTCCAACGACTCCTGGATCCTCGCTCGTATCGACTCTACGTACGTCTTGGTGCCCCGCTGTGACTTGACATCCTCCTGTGCCATGACAGCATAAAACAACCGTACTCGATCCGCACGAGAGAAGATGCCCGGAGGGGCGGTCGCCGCGTGCGAGACAGCCGCGTCGCCCGAGAGGCAGTATTCGGGCGGGACCCCCACGCAGCGCTCCAGGGTCCGCATCTGGTCCTGGATGGCGTCGAGTATGCCTGTGGCATAAGACTTGAGCGGCATGTCCTGAAGCGATGAGACGCCGCCGATGCGGAGTACCGACTTGACCTTGACCGACTTGAGCGTATCCGGCGGCAGCCGGCAGAGGCATTTGAAGAGGCTGTGGAATAGGGAGTCGCTGAACCGCATGAAGGCGAGGTAGCTCGAGAGAACCAGGAGCACGACCTCGGTGCTGAGCGTATCCGCATCCTCGGCGGTCTGTATGAGCATTTCGGGTGCTATGTAGGGCGGGGCGGGCTGGTTGTGGGGATACGAGCCCTTGGAGACCGTTGGCCGAGCCGCCGCCGTTAGGTTCTGGAGAATGTCGATCAACTCCTTGCTGCACGAAAGGAGTAGCGCAGCCGGATTCTCGGCCTCTGGAGAACCCTCCTCCTCGTCTTTGCAGCCCTGCAGGACTTTAAGAGGGTCCGAGAAGTGCGCGTCCATCGCCGTAATGCGCCGGTCCATGTCCTCTCGAAACCGCATCAGCGAGCTTGCTGCACTGAAGCATTCATGCTGTGGCAGAGGAGGACTTGGGGGGTAAAGGTCCCCGTACGAACCAAGGAGCGTATCGATATTCAGATCGAGCACAGTGTTAGGGCCCATATCAAGGAAGGTGTTGAGTTCATCATCTGCACTCAGTAGCCCCTGAAGGTGCGATGGGCCGTTCAGATGATCCACCAGTGCAAGGATATCTTGGCCCGGCGAGGACACGTCGGCAGGGCTCGCTGCCGGGGTTCTAGGGGTGCTGTTGTCGGCCTCGGCGAAACGCGGCCTGCGCGGTCTTCCGGGGTGGCCGGAGGCGCCTGTCACGCATCGCGCGCCGATGTGGGAGCAGCGCGCACACGGCGCCGTACTGTTTGGGGGTCGAAGGCACCGCACCCGCTTCACTCTGCACTGGTCGCAAGCAGAACGCTTAACTGCCACAGCCTTGTGTGTATCTGTCTTGTCATCCATCTTATTGATAGCGCGAGGCGGGAGGGGAATGAGACGAGGGACCAGTTAATTGGGCTTCATGCTTTGGTACCGTAAGGAGATGGGAGGAGGGGTTTGTAATACAACGGGGACAGGGCTGCCTTGCGTGTCCCTTGAGGATACTGAGTACATGTTTGGTAATTCGTGTGCAATACGCCCCATTGTTGGGAGCGGCCGGAACAGGCCGAGCAGGCGAATGCGCCGCGGTGCTACAGAAAACCACCGCGGAGGGTTGAAAATTCCACGTGACTCTGCTGTGCCCCAGAAAGTACGAAACGAGGCCGACCCCGAGACGCGTATTACAGATCTAAATTTGGTCGGAGGCTTGGGGAATTGTGGCCGAAATTCGCACTTGGATTAGAGCTGCAGCAGTGTAGAAAATCGCCCAGCGTTTCGAATGCCAGCATCAGGCTGGTTATGTACAGCAATGTCTTTTAAGCGCGTATATCTATGGAGTAAATTTAGGTAGCCAGCTTTATCATAATGCACGACAGCCCATTCGAGGCGAAACGTATCGACGATTGCGCAGCAAGCCTGCCAGATACGCCCGGAGCCTGGAACCAGGGCTCATGGGCGGCGGGACAAAGGTTTTCGGGGGATAATATTCAGGGCAGGTGGTAGGTCATTGAGCGGTGTTGTTTACTGTAGCTGGCAATGGCGACTCGGGTCGCCCTGAATGCACTGCACCAGGGTTCTGTCAATGGCTGAAGAAGCTTGAGCTCCATGCACGCCAACATATTGGGGCGCTGTCTACCCCGCCATCAGGGACTAGCAAGTGGGTCTGGCGTCGCCAACACCGTCATAGGCAACTTGACTCACATTGCTCGTGGCGAAGATTTTTGGTCGGAAGTAAACGCGACGCTTTGGCTGGACTTGGACCGGGCATTGGGCCGCAAACTAAGCGTGCCTGCCAGTACTTCACAACTACCTACTAGCTATTTGTATCGCCACTACACAGCACAGAAGCCGCCGGCCATCATGTTGTCAGACGCCGCCCCGCCGGCCCTCGCGCCCATAGTGACGACGGGGGCAGCCAAGCCCGAAGGCCAGGCCGTCGCCGAGTATGGGTATGAGGGCGTCTGAACCCTGGCTACTGGTGGCTTAGCTGACGGAAACCTGGGGCTCTCTGCTCCTGCGCCTGCCAGCATCGTCTCGGCATACCAGCGCGTGCTGGCCGACGACCCCGACGTGACAATGCCCGTCGCCGCCATCGAGGCTCTTATAAGCGTGCTCGGCCAGACCACCTCGTCCACCGTCATGGAGACGCTCGACATCATCCGCACCGAGGCCGAGCGCCTCAAGGCCTCGGTCCCGAACCCCGTCCCCCTCGCCGCGGGCACCGACCTGTTCCAGCAGTACCTCCTCCGCTCGCTCAAGAAGCAGGACGGCAGCAGCAGCAGCAGCAGCAGCAGCAACAAGAAGGCCGCCGGCGCAACAGCGGCGCAGACGGCGGCGGCCAGCACGGCCACCGACGGCTTCGAGGAGACGCGCCAGTACCTGATCCGCAACAGCCGCCTGTTCGCCTCGCGCGCCAAGCAGGCCCGCGCCGCCATCGCCGACCGCGGCGCCCGCATAATCACCGAGGGCAAGGTCGTCCTGACCGGGGGCGGCAGCCGCACGGTTGCCGCCATCCTGCTGCGGGCCGCCGAGCTGCATACGGCGGAGCACGGCAGCCCGCGCTTCCGCGTCGTGTACGTCGTCGACCCGCGCTTCAGCTCCCCCGCGCCAGCCCCAGCCACAACCGATCCTTCGTCGCCGCCCCAAAAATCCCAACCTCAGCCCCAATCCCAGCAGCAGCAGCAGCAGCAGCAGCAGCCGTCGTCGGTCGCCGCCGCCCTGCGCGCCCGCGGCGTCCCCGTGGCCGAGGTGGCCGAGCGCGAGGTCGCCCACGTCCTGCGCACCGCCGGCGTCGACCTCGCCGTCCTGGGCGCCGAGGTGCTGTGCCAGAACGGCGGTATCCTCTCGCGCATCGGCACCTTCAACATCGCCGAGCTGGTGCGCGCCTACGGCAAGTCCGTCTACGTCGCCGCCGAGAGCCACAAGATCGCGCGCGTCTACCCGCTCAGCCAGATGGACCTGCCCCGCTGCGGCGTCCAGCAGCAGGTCGCGCGCTTCACAACGGCCGCCGACGCCGACGCCCCCGAGCCGCCGAAGCCCGCCGACGCCGATCCCGTAGACTACACGGTATGTACATCCCACGCGCGTGCTCTGATATTTCAAGCCGTGTTCCAACCTAACATGTCAAATCTTCATTCGCCGCAGCCCCCTCAAATGATCACAAAGTTCATCACCGAGTACGGCACAAAGACACCGAGCGATATATACGAGATGCTTTTAGATATATTTTACTCGTGATAATCAACATGACGTCTGCCATCCATCTCGTTTACCATTCCCATGCGCCCGCCCAGGGCTTCTACTATATTGCTGGGGAGGACCATTGCAAGGCGGCTCTGTCGGGACATTATCGGGTCACAAGCTCCGAAACTTTTACATTTATAATTTGCGCCACATTTAGGATGGCGCAGTGGTGTACTTTGGGCAGCGTAGATAGTCCACTGTTCTTCTATGGGCGAGGACAGGAGGAGGAAACTCAGATGCCTGGTGGGAAGGCAGCAAATTAAAACGAGCGTGGTTATGAGCCTAGTTTTCTCAGTAGCGGAAGACAGCGAAAGAGCCTGATATCCTCGCTGCCACCTCTCCATAAAGGAACAAAAATGGCCGAGACGCCGGGAGGGAGACAACAAGGTGCGTAGCGTAGCTTCAACCAATGCCGTCGGAGCTCGCAATTCCGCGGAACCGCTGCCTCTGCGGCATCCGATCGCCTGGCAGCGCTAGACGGGCACGTCCCTGACGAGTCTCGCGCCAGCCCAGACGTACGGGTAGTTGCGCTGGTACCAGTTGATGCTAGATACAGACGGGCGCGGGCCTCGCGTGTCAGCAAAGAGAACGATGAGTGTGCGTGTGTGCGTGTATGTATGTGCCGGGGAGGTGCCTGGGACCAGAGTGGGGGCGGGCGGGCGGGCTCTAAGCGTGACCTACAAGGACTTCCGCCCCGCGATGCGAGGGATGGTTGCCCACGAGCCGCCGAGCACGATGTTGTGCTTTCCGTCGAAGAAGTCGGCTGGAGGGAAACCAAATGGGCGGGTGTTAGCAAAGACCTGAGGCCCAGGTGCACCCAACCGCCGGGCCAACGGGGTCGCATGTAAAAGGGTCGGAGAAAAAAAAAGGAGGGCATACCGGTGTAATTGGGATACAGCTCCATGGGCTCGAAGCCGTTGTGCCTCTCGAGGGGCGAGCTCGTCCACTCCCAGACCCCGCCCATCTGTGCCTGGCCCGCGAGCCGGGCCCCGTCGCCCGTGACGGGCGCCGGGTGCCACTGCTGCAGCCCGACATTGGCGCCGGCGAGGTCCACAAAGAGCCCCCGGCCGTCGGGCCGCGGCTCGTCGCCGCCCGGTCCCGCGGCCCGGGACGGAGGGGTTTCCTCGACGCCGTCGTTGGAGAGGTGGCTGTAGGTATGATCTGGCTGTCAGTCCGGGAGGGGGGGCACGCGACCCCCACGCCCTAGCTCGACGTCCGTGGGGGGTTGGGGGACCTGGTAGACCACTCACCCGTTCACTGCCGGCACCTTCCTCGCCAGCTCCCTGTCTACCGCGTCCTTCTGCAGCACCTGTGCGTGCTCGTAGATGCTTCGGGCCTCTTCAAAGGTCGGGATCCGGCCGCCCATCCACGCCGCGCAGCCTGACAGCTCGTCGTACGAGGCCGAGACCGGCCAGTCCAATGCGAATTTGAGCGGCACCGGCCCATAAACGGTCCTGACGGCCTTGCCCGCCGTGAATGAGGCTGGCAGGCTACAGCCGTGAACTCGGTTGGCGACGTGACCGTTGGCATCGCCATTGGTGTGCCCGTTCTCGAGGCCGTTCTCGAGCTTGTCGATGGGCCCCTGGCCGTTTGTGGTCCCGTTGATACCAACGGCGGTGCCCTTCGCGCTTCCCTCGGTGCCGACAGCAACCCACGAGGCCGGCATACGGTCGACTCCCTCGTGATACATATATTTTGCGTACTGCGTTAGGCAAACCCTGGTATCAGCGCCTCTTCCGCCCAGAAGTGCCGTGGCAAACGTGGCCTCGAACCAAACTTCACAATGGACTCTGTTGTGCCTTTTGCACGGAGCACCGACCTCTTCATTCGTGATCGGCCTTGCCTGCGCCTGGAAGGCGCCCACTTTGACTAGCCTCGCGGGCTTCTCGTTGTCCCTAAGATTTAGCTCGTCAGCGCCCCAGCCCGCATGTACAACACCTCTGGAATTCCTACCATCCGTAGTCTCGGTCGAGATCGGTACCGCTCTCTGGGTCGTCAAGCCCGATGGTCAGTTCCGTAGCCGGGATCTCGAACCACTGGTTGGTCACTCTCCCGGCCTCAGCTTTGGCGGCTAGCTGCTCGAAATCTGGAGCACGGCTGCCAGGGGGTGGCAGCGCCTTGTCGCTCTGGAGAAGCATGTACAACAGCGTCTCCAGGTGCATGGCCTCGTGCTCAAAACCGACCCATATGGCCCTTCCGACGCTGCGTGGGATATCTCGTTCGCCGGCGGCGTAGATGCCCTGGAGCCTCGCCCGAACCCGTTCCTGATATCGGGCAATTTCGGCCGCGGGTGGCCACTCCCCGGGGATCTCCGAGTGCGCATGGCACTTCTCTGGGTTATCGACATCAGGGTCGATCCCTCGCTCGAATATGGAATAATAGTACTGCGGCTCCGTCGCCGGGCTCCTGGTGGTCTTGGTCAACTGAATGTCCAAGAAGGTGGGGATGTGGCCAAGATAGAAGATGCAGGCGTTGCGCAGCCTGATTGGCTTCTCCAGCAACTCCTTTTTCGGGAGCATCCCACGCGTGACCGAGTCCCATGCAGCCCACAGCTCTCGCCAGTCGGCCAGGCTGGGCAGGGCCGACGGCGCGTAATCGCTTGGAGACAGGCTGAACGGCATGTTCGGCTTCGCAAGCAGATGGAGCCCTATACTCGGGACTGGTTAACGGTTTCCTACTCGACTTGTTTGACAGAAGAAGCCCGGGATGAGTTCGCAAGGCTTGACGGCGTCTGCTAGGCGTTGCCGCAGTGCACTGTCTTTTTCGCTTCTGCGCAAGCATGACAGGGTCCACAACAGGGCACCTCCCCGTTGTGGTCACCCTTGTTCCAAGGATATGATGGCGTGTGACACAAAGAGTAGGCTAGAATGAAAAGATTTTGGCCCCGCAATCGGCCGCAGCCAGCCGAATGGGCTACTAGCCGTGCAGGGCGCAAGGCAAGAGCAAGCGCAGGCTGCTATATGAAGCAGCCTCAGCTGACACGTGAGGATGCTGGATTGCATAGATAAGCTCTCCCGCCCCGAAACTTTCAAGGCCGAGAGGTATTTTTGAGTGCGTTCGTGTTTCGTTTCTGGACGTGATGGACGTCTAAGGGGTAAGGGGGTTGGAGGCATGTTGCGGGACCCGAGCAGTGGGTGTGATACATCGCACCAAGTCGCCTCCATGGAAACCAAAAGGGCCAAGTAAGAAACGAAGATGTGGGAAAAGGAGAGAGGAAAAAACCGTACCATATTCGGTGCCGTGAGCCCACCGGCCAGCCTCAGCCACACCCGAGTCCCGCCAAAGCTTCTCCCTATCGGATGGGGTGAACTTGACGCTTCGCTCAACAAAGACCCGTTCGCCCACAGGAACGAGCTGTCCCATTGCCCATGTGTCTCGGATCGGGGTGTACCATGCCTGGTGGCGGCCCCCTTGGTCGTCGTACACATACTCGCCGATGACGCGCCAGTCGGCCACATGGAATGCCTCCTCTCCGAGGATTCGGTTGGCATGGACGAGACCGTTGAGGATGAACCTAGGGTGCTTTTTCTCAGCAATGATTTCTCTTGGTAACCCGAATGCCTTGCACGGCGAGTGCGGTGTTCGGGTCCCTTACTGGTGTGTGACGCCCTTGCTGTCTGCATTTGGCAGTAGGTCAGCTTGACAGAGTCGAGGCGCATCAGCAGGCCCTGTCCTGCTTCCAGCGAGTCTCACCGTTGTATGCATCGCTGATTATCGGGGTTAGCAAGGCCGGACACAAACGGCCCATCGGCGGCGTTGAGGGAAGATGGGGGGGGGATTCATACTAGATTCTGCCAGGGTCGTAGCACGAGTCGACCCCAATCAGCATGGAATCTCCGGGCCGGAGGGCCTGCGAGAACCCCCTGAGGAACTCGGAAGCCTCGTCTCGCCGGAAGTTGCCTGAGACGTTAGGACAGAACCCAACTCGCTGGCGCAGGATGCTAATTTTCCGCCGGGTAGCGGGGTCCGACCAGAGAGCTTACCGATGCTTGATCCTAGAAATAGGATGCACTTTTGTCGACCAAGGTTCGCGGGCGACCTGAGCCACTCCTGGCCGTCGTCGTACGTCCCGAGCAGCCCGTGGCATCGAACATGCTTGTAATGAGGCACTTGGGCCAGCGTCCTCTTCAATTCGTCCTCGGAAAGATCGAGAGCATAGTAGTCGACACTCTTCCCGGCATCGTCGAGAGCCCGGAGAAGGATGCTGACCTTGCGAAGGTTGCTAAACAAGAAACCGAGCCGTCAATCTCGGAGGGTGGTGCTGTGGGGGCGTTGGGGGGAACCGATAAGCGGCACAGATTTGGGGGTCCTGTCACTTACCCGCTACCAAGCTCAATGATCATGGACCCGTCCGGAATCTCCTTGGCGATCTCGGCCGATGAGGTTTCCAGCACGGAGATCTCGTCATTGGTCAGATAGTATTCGTCCAGGTACGTTATCTTTGCGTGTGGAAGCAAGCATTAGCGTTGGCGATCCAGCCCGACCCGCGGTCATGGGGGGTCACATGCAGTGCCCCTCGATGAACCACCAGAATAAGAGCCTCTCTGACCTCCTCAAAGAGCTGCAGGCCGCGTTGGTCGTAGAGAAGAATTGTTGGCAAGACGCGCGGCCCGGCCTTTGGGCGGAACAGTGTCACAATCTCAGCCTTGAGATTGGTTTCAATCCCGGCAGCGCGGATGTCGATGATGCGAGACTCTGGACGGCCGCCGTTGGTCTCTCGGAAGCCGTGGCCGGGCTTGAGTTTGGGGGTCACGGAAAATGGCTTCCCACTAATGCCTTCAAGGGGATCCGCCACGCCACCCGACGGCCGCAACTCGAGCTCTGCTGCAGGAGGCATGGTCACAAGGAGGATTAGATGGAAGATCCTGTGGCGGCGAAGGTCTGCGTGGGCTGAAAGACTGGAGGCGCACGGGATATCAAAGGCACAAGAGGAGACTAGCTCGGGGATGGAGACTGGCAGGCGTGTGATGGCGGGAAGTCGGGGGGTGATGTTTTGTGACGTGAAAGAGGCTGCACGGGGGTTCCCAGAAGGGGGAGATGGCGCTGGAGGAGAAGTTGCCAGGAAGAGCCGCTGTCGAGGTGGAGATGTTGGACAGGGGATAGATAACAGGGAGAAATGGGAAGCAAAGGGGATTACCAACCAGGTTGAGTGGTTTGTTGAGACGGAAAAACAAAATATATTGAGACGGGAGAAACAAAGTACCTGCTCTTTACTGTTGTGTCAAGCTACTCGCAGTGGGCAGATGACCTCGGCAAAGGGCATGGCTATGCCGGAGTAGTGTCTCCCACCATCCTACTGTACCCGCCGGGGGGAGGCGTCGAGAAATCACGTCGTTGACGAGACCAGATGCGGTAGCCGCAGGTACCTCACTGGGTTGGCAGGTTGGGTGGCTTAGTTACAGGCGATACCCAAAGTCGACTTGGTGATTCCATCCGGGCGGGACCTGGGGCGCTAGTGAGATGGGGCAATTGCCTAGCTACCCGGCGGCGGGCAAGAATCGACGAGGCACACGCCGGCGATCCTTAGGCGATGGCAAACTGGGCGGCCACATCCACGCATCTCCGCCGTAACTCCGAGAGTGGCACGGCGGCGGTGGGCGGCTGGGCTGGGGGCGGCCGCTCGGGTTTACACGGGCTCGGCTTCCAAGGATCCCTGGCATTGGGTGTCGGCATGCATACTACACTGTAGGTACACAGCGAGACAGCTCAGCACAGCAGATCAGAGTGCTTGTTGGTCTGGTGTTCAAGCTCACAGGGATGACATACTAGCAGGCCGGCAGCGTCTTCTCAGCCTGGCAGGCGTTGCGGGGAGCCGCAACAACAGCTGGGCTCCGTGGGTGGTGGTGCATGGCCCCCAGAGCATGTCCACATCAGTCCAGTATGCCCTCCATGACAGAACCAAGGCCGTGCGTGCCGCTGACGAGCCGCGGCAGCCGCAAAGCGAGCATGAGAAAGCAAGCACGAGAAAGCGAGCACGAGAAAGCGTCATGAGACCCCGCCCGCATGTGGCGCTTCAGGGGAGTTCCCACGGTGGCAGGAGAAGGGAGGTGGTGGCAGGGTGAGGGTGGCAGGGTGGTAGGTACTATGGTACTATGGTACTGTCATTGCTGTCATTGCTGCTAGTGATATTGGAAGGCTGAAATTTGATGCAAAATCGACAGCCAATTCGGCACACAAACCTTGGCCGCCGCCACGAGCCCCACGCCCTCAGCCCACGCGCCATGCCGCACTAGGTCTAGCGCGCCTGCAAGCCCCCGAAACTCCACGTCGGCCCACCGTCATCGTCATGGCCAGCCCGAACACCCAACCAGTAGCGCCAGTCTGCTTTTTCGATGGGGGCGCCCCCGCAGCCCAGCTTACACATTTGTACGACATCTCTGCGCAATGTGTCCCTCACTCACACTGGCGTCTGTGAGGCGATTCCCGCCGACAGCTCTTGCTCGCCTACGTTTCCTAGGTGCTTACCGAGGTGCCTACCTGCCTACTACTTACCTACCTACCTACATGCCTTTGATACCTAGCTAGGTTGGCGTCTGGGAATGTGGGCGTCGTGATAGAACCTGGTATCCCTGTTGCAAACGGCCGCCGCCCATGGCGCTGGATGGGCGGACCCAACGTTAGCCCCAGGCCAACCTCAGTCCCAGGCCGATGCCAGTCCGGGCCTCTGCGCTCCCCCCACCCCCACCCAGCCTGGGTGGTTCCGCCAAGACTTCCTCCCGCGGGATATTATCTTATAGGACGCTCGGTTTGTGGGACCGGCGTGGGATCTTGCCTCTCGGGCTCTGGGAAACGGCTCACTCATCAGAGACCCCCTCTTTCTTGCTAAGGATGGAAACCCATCGTCCAACCAGGTGCGACCCCCCGAACTGCCTTGCCTGCCGGCGTCGCAAGCACACCCACCACCCCCTCTTTCCGTGCTGCGAACAGCTGTCACCGGTGAAGGGCAGGTACATGCCAGGTACCTATCAACCTAGGCACCTGATCGCTTCCCCCGGCATTCCATATGCCTGACATGCCGGTGGCATCAACACCTCCTGTATCCACTGTCATCGATGCCTTGCTGCGTCGCCCTCCCGCAATGCTGTCAACTTGGGGATCTGGGTTGGCTGGAAAGGACGGGCCAGGCGTGAGAGGGGGAGCTGTTGGTTCCCAAATCCGGGTTGGGCTCGGGCCTTTGCTCAAGCCGCTTGCAAATCAACGCGGATGTCATGTCCTACTGCCGAACCAGGGGGGCCGACAGATGACAGGGTTCAACGCAGCTGATCAGCCACCCGTCCCTCCCTTGCCGTTGGCTCTCCGGCCCCTGTCCACTTCTCGCCGCGATCCAGGCACGTATTGGCACATGCCTGGCTTCGGTTCCTGGCTTGATGCCGGCGCTGAGCCCGTCGCTGAGGTTCCAAGGGGTGCCAAAGGTATGTGGTCGCCAGGCCTTTTTCCCTTGAACTTTTGGCTTCAATCTTCTCTATATCAGTGATATGCATGCGGATTCCTGCTTGCACCATAGCAGTCGACGGGCCCAACCATCCTCATACTGATGTGTGCTCTTGCTCTGTTCCGCGACCCAGGTCGACCCTGCATAAGAGATTGCTAGAAGATGTCTCTTCCAGCCTTGCTTTCGCTCGTTGGGCATGCCTAGGCTGCAGGAGGAAATAGAGAAGCAAAAGAGGATGTATGAAAATAGAACAGGGGGTCTGTCATTTCGGTTTCCAGAACCGCCACTTTTCTCGGCATCCTGCAAGCCCACTCTACGACACACACACACACACACACACACACACACACACACACACAGCCTCTAGGGCCAAGGTCGCCGTCTAGGTGAGGAGAAAAGGAGAAAAGGGCCTGGAAGAAATACAAGAATATCAAGACTCCCACCAGCGTTAGCAACAAGACACCAGTCGGAGCTAAGCGAGGCACTGCTGGACGCGTTCCCGGTGTATCGCCTGGACACAATCTGAATATCGGAAAGACCACACTGGTGTATCCTGTCTTGGACTTCTATCACATGTGATTGGGAGTAGTCGTTGACCCTGAGGAGGTCGACCGTAGCTTTCTGATGTCACCGGAGATTGCGGCAGCTCTCAACCAAGAGTTTGGACGGCAAGTCTGGGCAGCATGAAACCATAGTCTGCCCTCCTGCCCAGTCACTCTCTGGAAGACAAAGAAACCTCAGCTGGGAGGCCAGGCTACAAAGCCAGGATGTCAGCGATTCTGGAAGCAATTCACAGCCGCGGAGGGGCTACTCCCTTCTTCGGAGCTGATATGTGACGATTTCTTTGATCGGGGCCTGTCCACGGCCGCACACCCGACGGTTAGTCCCTGCTTTCCCCCAGCGGATCACAAATCGGCAAATCACTGGATAGGGGCTGAGCTGCCGTTGAAACATTCGATCTCCGCATTCCTTTGTGAAGCTGCTTTGCTGTCCATCGCGATCAGGGGTAGCTAGGTCTGGGCCCGCCAGAGAGGGCGCCGGGGGGAGGGCGGGCAAAGAAGCTGCTCACGGTCCAGTCTGGAAAGGGGAGGAGCGAAGAGTATGTGTTTTGAGGGCATAAAAGGCGTTCGCTCCTCGGCCCTGGGAGAGAACAGAAGAGATCGTTTCCCAAACTCAGAACCATCACAAGACAAAAAGTGAGCCACTTCGACTAGACAAGCAGCAAGAACACATCAAGCAAAGCCGCCAACCAAGATCCACCGAGCCACCACACAGCCTAGACGCCAGTCAACGCGAACATGGACCCCAAAGGCGTGATCGAACTTTCTTTGACGGCGGTCTAGTCCCTCATCTTACTCAAGCAGGCTTGGGGCAAGGCGCCAATGCAGCTGCGGCGCGTGACGGACAGCTTCGAGAAGCTGGATCGGGAGCTGTTGGACACGCGAAAGCTGCGGCTCGAAGTCCGGGCCAATGAGCACTATGACCCGGACCTGCTCGCCGAACTCCTGGAGGCCGAGCGGCAGGGGTGCGTCGTCCTAATCGAGGCGAACGCCGCGCTCATTCACAAGCTGAAGGTCCGTGGTATCCCCCTTTTCCTCCTTCGTGCGGTGCGGAAACCCGAGGCCTTCTAACATTGCCGCGGCGCTCTCTCTGCCGGGGGATGCGCGAGATCAGAAAACCATGCGCGGCAAGAGATTCAGGGGCAGCCTCCCTGATTTTGTCAACAAATATCTGTGGACGCTGTGGCGTGGCGAACTGGCCGGGGTGCTCGTGCTCGATATTCAGGAGAGCCTGAAGAGTCTGAAGAAGGCGAGCGAGGCCGCGAAGGCCCAGCAGCCGCAGGCGAATCGGCGGGCCAGGGCCCCGCACCCGGCCGATGGCACCACCAGGAAGCGGCAGCAGACTGTCCACAACATTCCCCCGGTTCGGCCGCGGACCCTCGGCCATATGCACTCGTGGCGGGCGCAGATCCCCGCTCCGGCCCACCCGGAGCCACAAGAGGCCCACGACCAGGCTCCGGAGTCGGTTATCAACCAGACTCCGGAGCTGCAGGAACTGTGGAATGAGATTTTCCGCACGCCCGCCGACAGATCCTGACTACTGAGACCTGCCGCGGGCATGATTTGCGCGGATTCGCATGGACTGGCACCCGAGCCGAGCATTTGGGAAAATGGGATTAGATTGATTCGTTCTACACTCTTTTTTTCTTTTTTGTATCTTGTGTGCGGACATAGAAAGACGGAGACGGGAAGGGCGACGGAGGCGGAGAGAAAGACAGGATCAGGGTCAGAGGGAAATTTAGGAACAGATTGAAAGACTGCAACGGAGGAAACAACTGTAACGGAGTAAACGACGGCAATAGAACCAAAGACGGCAATAGAGGGAAAGACTATAACGGAGCAAACGACTGTAACAGAGGGTAAAACGGCAACAGAGAGAAAAGATAGTGAGGGTGGAGCCAGCAGCTATCTCAGACCCAATCCAGCTCCTGCCTCCGCCGAGCCTCTGCCTGCCTCGCTGCACTTTCGGCTTCCCAGCGCTCTTGGTCTGCAATGGCCCTTTTGCGGCCGGCCTCGCCTATCTCTTCTTGCCTTGCGCTCATCTTCATCTGGTCCCGACGATCGCTCAAGTAATGGTCGTCCATGGGCTCGACCACGACGCTTGGCAGGAGCGGCTGTTCCCTGTGTGGCCTCTGGGTCCCGGGGACTAGGTTGAAGCCCTTGATGCCGAAGCAGCGCACGTGGTAGCAGGACCGCTCAGGGCGCCCCCGTAGCCGGCCGTGCTCCTTCGCCTCGGCCGTATTGGGCCGGCGATAGGGGGGCAGCGGCTCCGCGGCCTCCTTGGGCCAGAAGTATTCGAGCGGGATGGGGCACGAGAAGACGATCAAGGCCATCATGGTGGCATTCCGCATGATATCTTCCAGTTCCTCCTTGGCTCGCTCGCACGACTGTTGGTTCCCGGGCTCCGGACGTACGTCGAAAGGCGCAAAGGTTTGGCGGATGGTGTTGATGGCAGCCTCGACGTTGGCGGTGCAAGGATTTTCGGCGTCGAATTCTATTTCCGGGACATTCTTGAGGACGGGGAGGGCCGCGTTGCCCATGTGGCAGGTGATAGAGCGCCAGTAATCGCGCAACATGATAGGAAACTCGTCGTTCTGCTAGGACAGCCATCCACTGCTAGAGGAGAAGGCCTTAGTTGCGGGCATGGTCAAGAGACGCTGGTACGTGGCTGCTATGTCTGGGGGCAGGAGGGTGGTGGCCAGGTCGGAGTTGGCGGCCATGCGCGACATGAGGAAGCGGCAGATGAAGGTGGCCATGATGTGCTCGCGATCTGCGCCAGGCTCCAGGAGGCGCCTCCATTCGCCAGGCGGCAGCGCCAGAGCCGCAAAGGTCGACTCATCGATCTCGACTCCCTGGGCATTGGCGTCGATGAACTGCTTGACGTAGCGATTGGCGCTGTAATAGATGCCATCCCGCAGCGATCGGAGCCAGCCAACTTTGGGCTCTTTCGAGGGGAGGAAGCAGTCCAGGGCAAGGGCAAACTTTCTGCGAGCTTCCTGGTCGTTGCCCTCGGTCTCGTTGGCGTGATACTCACTGTCAGGGTCTTGGTGTACAGCCAGTACTGCCACCCAAGCCAAACGAGGGCCGTGATAAGAGCGCCGGCAACGGCGGACCCGATGGCCACGCCAACGATGGCGGCGGTGGAGAGGCTCATGTCGGGAGGGATGTGTATGTGTGATTGCTGGAAAGGAGAAGTGTGTGCAATGTGGGAGGAACGAGAGCTGAGGGGTGCTTGTGCACGGTAGGCTCTGGACGAGACGCGCGGAGACCTTGTCATCTAGATACCTAAAGCCAGGCAAAGTTTCGGAGGGCAGTCTGGTTGCATTGAAAGAAAATCCCTCCCTACCAGCATGGCCGAATGCGGCCCGTTTGTCCTCGACACCTGAAAGGGGGCGGCTGTCTTGGCCCAATTTCCACCCTGGATGCACGAGCCGCGCTGGAATGTCATAGACCTATCGCATATCTATCCTTGAACGACGACACATCACATGAGCTGAAGCAGAGAGAGTGAGAGACGGGGAAAGCCACCCGGGCACCGGGGCACTGATACGAGCCCCCCTAGTTGATAAGAGAATGAGACTACCTAGAGATAGGTAGGTAGATGCATAGGCACATAGATGCATAGATACATAGGTAGCTACCCGCCATGCCCAAACGGGGATGCAAACGGGGATGCAAACGGGGATGCAAACGGGGATGCAAACGGACATTACAAACACGACAGAGCCTTCTTGCCGGTTGCGTCCTCAGATCTTGTCGCCACCCAAACCGCTCATACCAGAGTCAAGCCTCTCATACTAACCAGACTAACTCGCTACTGCTCTTGCCTGATCTCTCTTGTCGCAACCAGCGTACGCACTAGCTACTATGGGTAGCAAAAGTGAGGAGAAGCCACATGCCGTGGTAGGAATTGATTTCGGAACAGAATGTAAGTCGCCCAATCCGGCCTCGTCTTGCCTGCCACCTTCGTAAACAAGGCGGCAAGCCAAACTAGTCTGACACTGAGCCTACCATGGGACGTACCTTGCTCGTATCTAGGCCTTAAAGTCGCCTTGGCGTTTCTCAACGAGGCCGAAAATACCCCGCATGTCAAAGACATGTTGTTCGAGTCCAGCCCGCCCGGCTGCGAGGGTCACGAACTCACGGCTATTGCCTACCAGCGCGGTCCGTCGAGCGATGTCCGGTGGGGTTATGCCGTCAAAAAGATACCGAAAGACCAAGGCTGGCACACCTTCAGCCAGTTCAAGCTGGACGCACTTATCAACTCAGACACGCCGTGCCTGTCCGATGAGGGGACGATGCAGATGGCTGGGCCGCAGCTCTGTGTGGACGTGCTTCGGCTTCTCCTGCCCGAGGTGGCAAACTTCTACAAAGCCAAATGCGGCGAAAAGCTGCCCGTCTGGGACAAGGCTCGGGTGGACATAGTCCTGAGCGTGCCGGCCGCAGTTGGCCAAGACGGCGGCGCCGTCCTAGTCGACGCTGCCCGTAGGGTCGGCTTCGAGAATACCAGAAGGACCCACAGGGTTCTTGATATCGGCCTGACTGAACCAGAAGCAGCGATGCTTCAGGTTCTACATGAAAGCAAGGATAGGTTCAAGGTTGGACAAGTCCGGTCCTGTGTCTGTCCTCCGGAACTTGGCTGACAGCTCTCTCTTCCAGAACGGAGACCACATCTTGGTGGTAGATGTAGGCGGCGGGACCTCGGACCTTTCCATGGTCGTGCTCGCCGACCGTGAGACGGGCCCGGTTAAAACCGACTTTTTCCAGCCTGTCACGAGCCAGCAACTTGGGAGCGTCAACATAGACGGTGGCCTGAGAGCAAGCATTATCCGAGGGTTCGAGCAGTGCCTGCCCCAGGAATCCCTCACACCGGGAGCGACAACCGCAAAAGCGGCTCGTAAAATCACCGACGGCGACGCGTACCGCTGGGCCAAGCACAGCTTCCGCGATTCCAGCGGTGACAGGGCCATGTTTGGTGTCGACATCGCCGACCTTCTTCTCCCTGATACCATCATCTCCCCACCTGCCGAGCTGGGCGGTATAAGGTTCGATGGCACGGCAATCCGCATCAGACGGTGAGTTCCAGCTTTCGGTTACTATCACCGCCACCATAACCACTACCTCCCCCCCC